CAGAGCTGAGATCTGCAGTCTAGCGAATTGGAAGCCCACACATTCTGAAATGTCTGCTTACTAGTTTTTCTCTGCTGCAGCTACAACACAAAGAAGAAAAGATAAAACTCAGTGTCATGCCTGCTTTTGCTCAGATATGAGGTGTCTCTTGGGGCAGAACTGAATGTCCCTCTTAGCCATGCCCTCCTCTAGCCTTTTATCCCTCACCTGACTGCCTCTAAACTCTGTCTTCAACTCATCAGGGTCATTAAAGTTGAGTGTGCATCAGAAACACTGTGAGGGGTTAAAACTTGGATTGTTGAGCTCCATCCTAAATCTCTAATTCAGCAGGTCTGGAGCAGGGCCTGATATCATGCATTTTTGGCAGGTTCTCAGGTGCTGATGTTCTGGGCACCACATTTGAGATGCAGCCCCAAAAGGTAACTTGCTTTGCAACTGGTGATTAGAATCATGATGAGAGGGCTTATATTAAAAAATGAATTGTAAACACCCATCTCTAGTGATTAGAAGGATAAAGCTGCCTGGGTAGAGCTTCCCTGTTAGACAATATAAAAAGTAGTTACTTTTTGGAGAAAGTAGATGATTCTATCTGCTACCTTATAGTTCAATAAACTGAGATGACAGATCGAGGAAGAACCAAAAATATACACATACAGATTTATTGACAATTTCACTTGCTCAAAAGACTTCTTGGCTGGGCCAGCATATAGGACAAAATGATTTGCAAATGATGACAGATGTCTTTACCCTATATTCTTTTCTGTTTGGGATCAAAGCTTGTTTAGAGACCCATAGCATCATCCCAAGTACAAATCTCTTGCCCTCCCAGCATGGCTGCCAAAAAGAATGACTCATGTCAGCAGCTCCTGTGTAAAGAACCAACCCCCAGGAAGGCACGCTTCCCAGAAGATGCCACAGCTACACCTCTCAAGGTACTCCTGAGGGCAGAGCAGTACCACTAGGAATTCGTCCTAAGTATCTTACAGTCGAGCAGGAGCTTCAGGGATGCTCAAAGTGTCTCATTAATTTTACTTTTATATGTTTTTTACTATTTACCTATGTGAGCAAAATATTTAATCCTGTAAAACTGAAACAATGGAATATACCCATAAAGGTTCAGATATAAAGGCTGTGTCTGCCATATACAACCTTACTTCAAATCTTTGGTCCTTGAACTTACCTGATTATTCTGATTATAAATGCTATACTGTACATTTGAATTCATATAAAACTCTACTTTTTTTCCCCTATATTGTGGTTTCACATGAGATTTTTCTTTTCATTTTTCTTTCTTTGTTTTTGAGACAAAGTCTTGGCTCTGTTGCCCAGGCTGGTACAATCATAACATTGCAGACTTGACCTCTTGGACTAAGGTGATCCACCTCAACCTCCCAAGTAGCTGGGACCACAGACTTGTGCTACCACGCCCAGCTAATTTCTAAAATTTTTTGCAGAGATGGGGGTCTCGCCATGTTGCCCAGGCTGGTCTCGAACTGCTGGGCTCAAGCAATCCTTCCACCTTGGCCTCCCAAAATGTTAAGATTACAGACATGAGCTACTGCACCTGGCTAATTTTTTTTCCAGCTGTTTAAGAAAACTGTGAAATCATTAGAAAAAAAGCAAATAAAGCATCAATGACTAATTGCTCAAAGATGCTCTGAGCCTGTTGGGATGCTATGTCCAGGGTCTCTATTTCCATCTCATCACACCATCAACCATACATGCCCTTAAGTCCTTTTAAACCTTATATTCTGGGGCCAGGTGCAGTGGCTCAGGCCTGTAATCCCAGCACTTTGGGAGGCCGAGACGCACGGATCACCTAAGGTTGAAAGTTCAATACCAGCCTGACCAACATGGAGAAACCCGTCTCTATTAAAAATACAAAACAATTAGCTGGGTGTGGTGGTGCATGCCTTTAATCCCAGCTACTTAGGAGGCTGAGGTGGGAGAATCGCTTGAACCCAGGAGGCAGAGGTTGTAGTGAGCTGAGATTGCGCCATTGCACTCCAGCCTAGTGACAGAGCGAGACCCCATCTCAAAAGAAAAAAAACAACAACAAAACACCTTATATTCCTTGGTTACTATGGCTGTGAGGCTAATTATTCCAGAGAAAAGGACATTAAATAGACACCAATCCAGCTGCTGACCACTTTCCTCAAGGGATCGTCTTGAAGCTAGCATGATCATCTTCTGTGACCAGCAAGGACTGTGCCACTAGGACTAATGGCCACCCTGGGTCTTCTGTTCTGAAGATTATAAATGATAGGCTAGAAAGGGCAAAGCAAATAACTGTTCTATCCACTAGTAGGATTTTTTCCCCCATGGGTAAATAGCTCTTTTTTCTAATAAAAAGAAAATTGCAGAGATGAAAGAAAAATAAAGTTAAAGAATACTGAACAAGTCTAAATAAAAAACCATTTTGTGCTACTCAAAGTGATCTACAGATTCAATGTAATCCCTGTCAAAACACTGATGACATTCTTCACAGAAATAGAAAAGCCCTAAAATTTGTCTGGAACCACAAAAGACCCTGAATAGCTAAAGTGACCCTGAATAAAAAGAACAAAAGCTATAGGCATCGTACTACCTGATTTTATAATTTTATTTTTTTTAAAGACAGGGTGTCACTCTGTCACCAGGCTTGAGTGCAGTGACATGACTGTGGCTCACTGAAGTCTTGATCTTCTGGGCCCAAGTGATCCTCCCATCTCAGCCTCCTGAGTAGCTTAGGACTACAGGTGCACACCAGCACACGTGGCTAATTTTTGTAGTGACAGGGTTTTGCCATGTTGCCCAGGCTGGTCTCGAACTCTTGGGCTTGGCTTCCCAAATTGCTGGGATTACAGGTATGAGCCACTACGCCCAGCCCACACTACCTGATTTTTAAAATTTTTAACTGCTTATCCTTCATAGAAGCCATCGCGTTAACAGGAACTAGCATAAAGATCATGTAGTCCACTGTGAAAGGTTGCTCAGAACTTCTAAATGATATTAATCTGCATTCAGAATGTCTAGCCTCCAGGGATCTCACAGAACATGAACTAAAGTTACGTCATCTGTAACAAGGAGGAAAGAATACCACAAAAGCTCTTGTGGGGGCTGAAATTCCATGTATAGTGTGATTTCTCTCTTCTAGGTTGTCTACTGTGGGGTAACACCTAGGGCAGTATCTTATTCATGATTTTTATATTCATTAAGGGAAAAAAGGAACCTACACATTCAAACTACCCATGTGTAACAACACACATTATTTACCAAGCAACTTAAGCTGGTTAAGTCTAATGGTAGGTGAATTCATTTTAGAAGCAAATGAGGGAATGAATTAAATTTGAATTTTTTCAAATGAAGAGAATGACATAAGAAAAACCCAAAGCCTTGGAGACAGAAAAGTCTGATGCATTAGAATTTATAAAGACAAGGACAAATGGAAGTTTTAAATGCACCTGGAGCTAACAATAGGCAGTAAGGTTCAGTTTGCACCAGTCTCTTACTGGACTGCTTTTAAAAAAATGGACTAAGAGATCAACACCTTCCAGATCCACTGTGGCCATTCACAAGGTTATCTTTTTTGGCAGGAAATTCAAATACTAAATGCAAATACATTTTTTTTTTTTTACTAAAATAAAACATCACTGTTAATAAAAATAGATGAGAAAATGTTCTTTTCTCTCTTTTTTGAGACAGTCTCACGTGCTCTGTTGCCCAGGCTGGAGTGTGGTGACACCATCATAGCTCACTGCAAACTTGAACTCCTGGGCTCAAGTGATCCTCCCACGTAGCTGGGACTACAGGCAGGCACATGCCACCAGGCCTGGCTAATTTTTTGTAGAGATGGGGTTTCACCATGTTGCCCAGGCTGACCTCGAACTCCTGGGCTCAAGCAATCCTCCCACCTTGGCCTCCTAAAGTGCTGGGATTACCCAGGAGCCACCGTGCCCAGCCAAGTTTAATTAAATATGTAAATTAGGGGAAAAGCTCACCATCCCCCTTCTTTTTTGGAAAATCTGGGGAAGGCTCCAGAGCTATCTCAAGTCTGAATCAGCAATTTTTGCGGTCTGAGTCTACCCGGCGGGGCCAAAAGACTCTGAATAGTCTAGGTTAATGGCCTCCTCTCAATCAACTTGGCTATCCGAATGATCCTTTGAGAAATCTGTTCCCATTCTCTGGATACTGATGTCTGAAGGCCATAAATGGCAGGCAGGCCCAACTTATTTCCTTTAGGGCCACATGATTGCAATTTATTAAATGTAATTCGAATAATAGAGTTAGAAAATAGTCATAAAGGAAAATACATGGCAGATCTTGACCAGCAAAATATCATACAGATTACAAGTGGAATAGACTTAAGTCTGCGTTCAGGAACCCTCACTCCTCTTAATCAAGCAGACTGCTCGTGGGAGGCTCTCTGATTCCAACTATAAAATGCTTTGGCAAATACGAGAAATAACTCAACATGGATCAAATGAATCCCTTTGCCTGACCCCTACCCCAGTCTTCTTTCCCTTTACTCCCAATTCCTGCCCTCTCATGTGTTCTCAAACACTAAAGGGACTTTGAGTGCCATTTTCTAAATAAAAATTCTCATGATCTTGACTGCATCCTAATGAACCTCAAGGAGTGATAGTTCAGCGAAGAAACTCAACTGTTTTTAGGTAATTGTTATCTGAAATACAGGTTGGTGGTATCCTAGGATTTTTAATCCCATGTAAGCATAATCCTGGGAAACTGAATTATGCTTAAATTCTTGAAAGCAAGAAAAATTTCCAAGAAAAACAAAAAGGAAATTTGGTTTCTGAAAAAGCTGATACCCTCTCTAAGCCATGCTGCCCCTTCTGGGGCCAAAATAACTCGGAAATCAGCAGCCTTGTGGCATTGCAGCCCACAGTAAAGGCAGAGTCCGAAACTATTTCTGACTGTTGTGTTCTTCTCTAGCATTCACGATGTCCCCATCCTAGATTCCTAGCTGTTCATGATCAAGTGAAAGTAAAAAGTAAGCTTACCTAACATCTCTTCTTTTAGTCTTTCATTACGTTCTTCGATTTGCTTAGGCAATCTCTGAGGAAAAGAGGAGAAACAAGGGTTGGTTAAAAAAAAAAAAAATCCTTTGATTTTATTTTGAATTTGAGAAACATGAGAATCCTAATACAGAAATAAGATCGAGTTGAGTATATGTCTATGATCCTATAAATAAAGAAAAAAAAAGAAACCCAAGTATTTGTGTTTGTGGGTGAGCTATATAAAGACAAAAGTTCTGTTTGGGTCAGGTGCGGTGAATTCCGTAATCCCAGCACTTTTGAAGTTTGAGTTGGGAGGATCGCTCAGCTCAGGAGTTTGAGAACACCTTGGGCAACATGGCGAAACACCATCTCTACAAGAAATACAAAAATCAGCCGGGTATGGTGGCATGTGTCTGTAGTAGCAGCTACTCAGGAGGCTGAGATGGGAGGGCTGGTTGAATCTGGGAGGTTGAGGGTGCAGTGAGCTACGACTGTGCCACTGCTCTCCAGCCTGGGTGACAGAGACCCTGTCTCAAACAACAACAAACAAGTTTTGTTTGGCTCTATTTCCAGCTCGTAATAGAATGCCTACACTAAAGGAGGGCAGTGATACAAATTTAACGAATAAATACATACAGAAAAAAAGTCTGAAAGGATACAAATCAGATGTTTACAGTGTTATATTTAGATGGTGGGATTATGGATGATATTTGTAATTTTAAAAAATTAATTTGTATTTTCTAAGTTGATGTCCCTTCTTTATACAATCTAATTTGTTGAGAAAAGGTCGTATCAGTCTTGGATGTTCTTTTTCTTTTTTTCTTTTAGAGATGGGGGTCTCACTGTGTTGCCCAGGCTGGCCTTGAACTCCTAGGCTTAAGTGATCCTCCTGCCTCAGCCTCCCAAAGTGATAGGATTACAGGTATGAGCCATGTGCCTGGCTGGATGTTCTTCAATAATCATCTAGCTCAGGGTTTCTGAACCCTGGCACCACTGACATGTTGGATGGACAACTCTTTGTTGTGGGGTCTCCCTATGCATTGTGGGATTTTTAGCAGCATCCCTTTTGTATGCTCACTAGATTGCAGTAGGACTTTCCCAGTCATAATAATCAAAATGTCTGCAGACACTGCCAAATGTTCCTGAGAACTGCCCCAGTTGAGAACTACTGACAGAGATTTAGTCTTTTTTTGTTCGTTTGTTTTTAAGATACAGGGTCTTAAGCTGTTGCCCATAATGGAATGCAGTAATGCAATCACAGCTCACTGTAGCCTCCAACTCGTGGGCTCAGTGATCTTCTCTGTCA